CTTCATTGTACTATAATTATAAAGCAGTAATGAACACACATGTGTGTATTTTAAAGGAATCCACCACATGTCTATAATAGAGCGCAGATGTTAATGCTGGCAACTCTTATTGTTCAACATATTCTCCCATCATTGCTTGTTGTTTCTCACCCTATTTCTAATCTGGTAAACACCAGAGGGGAAGAATTTGTCTTTCATTGTCACTGGTCACCACAAACATCCATGTGGCTGTAGTATTAATCCAAGTCAGCCATTCTGCATGGAGTTAGTGGTTACATCAGCTCATTAATGAATAGGTGAATAATAGGAAACAATACTGCTTCTCCTCCACATTTCACTATGCAGCCCTGACTGTCCCATGTATGGCAAGGCCAGCATGCAGTCACTGCTAAACTTCAGCTCAGATTCTCAAAAAGACTTTTCCATAAGCATAATGACACTGTACCATGACATCACAACTTTCCTCTAGGTTTGAATTAGCTTGTTTGCTTTTACAGGAAATCATATATATTCACTGTTCCTCCAACTTAATTGAGACCAGGCAAGTGCCACACGCATTCCTTTCGTCACACATCAGGATCATTTAGCTTTCAAGTGCGTTAACGACATTCCAATAATCCATTAGGTACCCACCCAAAATGGACTTTGCCATCATACAAGTAAAGACAGCAAAATGAATAGTAAGGTCAATTTGAGACTATAAAAGCTTGAAAACTTCACAGTATTACTTCTGGGGTCAGGGTGAAATAAAAATTTTACAGTACCTTGTGCAATGGGGCTTCCGTCCTGACTGAAGACACTAGACACTGTAGCAATGCAATACTAATGCCAAGAGACTAGAGTTTTAACCTTTCCATTTCCCATCTCCCCTAAACCTTCCTAATATCATTCATGATGTCACTGCACCCTGGAATATGCATTTTAGTATTTATTGGAAAGGATTTGCTGAAGATGTACACTGGGAACTGCAAATGCATCCCCTAAGATGGATAATATGAACTAATGCACAAAACTAAGCATAGGAGAAGAAAACCAAGAGAGGCATTCTATGCTGTTTATAGGCTACCAGACTATACAAAATCACAGACAGAAGACCAGCATCTCCCTTGAGGGCCACAGAAGAACAAAAAAAGGAAAGTATAATATTTATGAGATAAATCAGTTTTCGTCTAAGATAACTCTGTGAAAATTAATTTGTGTTTAACTCTGTTCTACTGTTCAACCAGCAATAAATACAGAAAATATTCATAGATTTACAAGAAGTATTCAAAATCACTTTATTTGATGGAAAGAAGAGGCAGAGAGTAAGGGAAAGTGTCATAGTTTACAGCCATGTGTTTTCAAATAGAGGCTAATGTATGCATACCAGCACTCACTTTTACACATCAGTGCCAAAGTACTGATTAACCTTAAAGTTATCTTTGCAGTGACACTACACACAGAGCACAGCCTTTAAAATCAGAGGCTAAAATGACATGCTTTGGACCCCAATGTCATAAGTGGGAAATATGTCGTGACTCTCCCCTCACTGCTACCAAAGACGATTTTGTTGAGTCCCTAATTCAGGATTCAAACTCCTGCTTGATTCTAAACAGGAGACTTCATGTGCCAAGGCCTAGACACTTCTGTAAATCTTGACATCTCATCTTGCTTTTGTGTGAGAACATCTTGGAATTTCATAGGATCTTAATTCAAAGGGTTGAGCTGTGCATATGAACTAACATCCTGTGTCTGATCACTGTAGCGTCACAGTCCCAACCCGAAACCCACTGGGCATCATCTGCACTAGTCTTGTCAACAATTTATGCAGATTTTAAAACCATCAAAGTGGTTTTCCCCATTTCTCTGAGAGAGCCTTTACAAAACACAAACAAACACATAGAAAGACACAGACTTATTTCTTTGCACAATTTCACTACAGACATGCTTTTCTTATTAAACTCTAGTGTTATCCTTTGATTGTAAGAGTCTTCTTTCCCAGGAAATCTATGACTAAGCCTGTGTAAATACTCAGCTCGAGGGTCTGCTCTTGCGGCTATTGTGGCTGTTTCCAGAATTTCTCAGTAGGTATGCTTGTGAATTGCCTCATAGTCATACGCATAATGTACCCTCCCTCCCCTCAGCATCCTCATCCATCTGTGGGCTTCCAAGTATACTGCATAGCCACCTTATTAGCAACAGAAATGGGACTCAGGTCCTGATTAGAATCTGGTGGAAACTGGCAATAGCTCCATTGACCGCGCTGGAGTTCAGCCCGCTTACACCACACCAGCAACTGCCTCCTGACTCCCATATTGGTTGGTTATGGACTGGTTGCTTTAGTGGGCCTGGCTCTGTGAACTACTGAGAGTTTTCGATTCCACTTGACTTCAACATAAACTAAGGACACTCCATTATCACTAGATAAACCCATTATAAAAAGTATATCTGCTGCTCTCTCGTTGGTTCCTGTGTAAGGCAGGTTGGTATATGTGTAAACTACTCCGGCGTGTGGTTTCAGAAGGTGACAGATTGCAGGCAAACTGTGTGCCAGCATCTCTCCCAAGCTGCAGCTTTCCCAGCAAGGCTGCTGCATGTCCAGAGTCTGGCTCTGCCTCATCCCAAGACCCACGCACTACAGCCAGCCTAAGCGGCTTGCGACTCCAGCATGCTTAGACTCACAGCTACACAATACAAGGCAAAGCCTTACCAACAAAATTGAGCTCATGTTTTCCAGAACCAAAGAGAAGGGGAGAGGTTTTAGCAGAACTTTGTCATCGCCTGTGGTTCCTATCAGGCCAGCAGTAAACTTGGGTTGTTTATTGGATCCCAAACTTTCTTTGCATGTACACAGGAAAACAGATGCTTCCCACTCCCAGGCCCCGCATCCGAGCCAGGCTCCCTCAGCAAAAACCCCAGGTAGGGAACACAGACAGCACAACAGAGAGATCGCTTCCTGTGTCAGGCTGCTCTGAGCTGATGATATAGCCCTATCTTTGCAGCGCACTTCTCTGGCCCCCTTGCCAGGGTATCAGAATGGCTCACGACACACAACTTGCTTTTCCTGTGCGGTAGGGAACAGCTGACCTCCTTCGTTCACAAACTAGCAAGTACTTTAGCTCAAACAATGTCCATAGGGCACGGATGACAGAGCCGGGAAGCGAGCCAGGTCTGCTAGATCCTAGACAGGTGCCCTGACTTCTAGGTTACCTTTCATCTTTCGGCATTAAAGTCCTGGCACAGTCCTCCCGTAGCCCTATCTTCAGTCAGCCTCAAGTGCAACCCTCCTTTTGACTCACTTATGCTGGTAATAAATTAGGTTTCAAGCTCTTACAATGAAGCAGAGAGGTGAAGGGGAACTTGTGTACATACTCACGTGCCTAGACACATGCTTCTCCTAACTTTAGAACAGCCGCCTATCACAGTTTCTTGCCTCTTCCTCTGAAATAGGGGGTGCTGGACACTGCCTGCACCACGACTGTGACATATTGCAGCCAAGTGTGCCATTCTGTCGTCTGAAGAGGATCCTTTAGCTTTCTGCCAGAAGAAGGACCTCATGAGTGACACGGATTGTTTGAAAACATGATGCACCGTTTCCCTCTCCTCTGACATTTCTCTACATGAGCAGCTGAATAGCAAAAAGTTTCATGTTCATTACTGATTTTGTTATTTATAGCAAGCTGCCACAGATGGAGACAGCAGCATGGTTCTATCTTTAGGGCGTAGCGCCTGCCTGTCCATACAGACAATTGGTAATTAGCACAAGAACAATTTGTTTATCTGTTCTGAAACTTAAACAAATAGGAGAGCCATTTATCTGTCAAAATTCAACTCCCTCCCATTGCCAGATCTCCAGGTTAATGAATAGAGTTCATTGCTTCAGGCATTTAGGTAAAGCAAAAAGTTCCTTGAAAAAAAATTCTCTACAGCAAATTAAATATGCAATAAAATATATAGCTTGTTACATGCTGAAGGGAAAGCATTTGGATCACTAGCAGCAGGAGTACAGGACAAGTTGGAGATGATGGTGATATCAAGTACAGATGCAGAAACAGACCAAATGGCATGGAGGGAAAGTGCAGTTTATACATCCTCCCCCCAGCTAGGCCTGGTACTATGCATATTTCCTCCATGTCCAGCCAACGTATCAGCTGAGCTATATAGGTAAATCCCTGCGTGAGCATGAAACTGGGTGATAAAAGGCAATAGGGATACTTTAAGCTGCCCAAGTACCTGGCTGAATAAAATACTGCATATGTACTAAGATGTTCTTGCATGGCTCAGATGGCAGAACCCTGCCCAATGTAAACACTACACAAGCCAGGAAGAAGAAGACGACATGACATCATTTTTTCTATTTCTGTAGCTGATCCCAACCCTTCTTTGTTCTCTTTTATTCCCTACACCCATCCCCAAAGTTAGAGGAAAGAGGGAGAGGCTTTGTGGATTGATGGACTTTGTGAGTTGTACCCTAGGGTTGGCCCTTGTTCCCTCTCTCCTTCCCCCCACCACTGCTGACAGGAGGGGAATGGGAGCTGTTGAGGGACAGGTTACACTTGATTTGAAGACTGAAGTAGTCTATGTGGGGGAAAAAAACACACCCTCTTCTTTCTCACAATTGAAATGTTTTAGGCATTTGAAAGTTTTCACATATTCGAGCCTGCAGGTGCAGCTTTTTACATACAAATAAGTGTATGCATATCTACCCTTACAGGATGGGGAGAACAGTAGGAAAAATCAGAAGGCTTTGAGGTTACTGCTGTCAAGCAGCATAAGCAGGTCAGGTCCGAGGAATTTTGCCTAGCCTCCATTTCAGAATCACATGGAGCCCTATGAAGAGCTATTTGCTCATTGTCCTACAGCCTGAACTATCTTTATTTGACCTTAGAAGAGTTTTTTCTCTTCCCACCAGGGGGGGAAGAGGGGGTCAGGGGGTAGAAGCTACTAAATAAAAATAATGCATTTTAAATACAATGGCTAGAAAGAAATGCTAATGAGGAGTTCTTTCTTCTGTCTTTCAGCTCACAACCCCAAATTTTCCCGTAGTGGTCAAGCTGGGACATGCTCATGCTGGAATGGGGAAGGTAAGTAAAAGAAAAAATATGTGTAGCTCAGGAAACAGATATGTATGTGGCATAGCATCCCTGTTGCTTCCATCTTGCATGTGGCCCCCCCAGTGAAGGGGCTCCCCATAGCCTATCTGGGTTGCACTGGCTGTTCCTGCAGGAAAAAAGGCCTTCCTCTGCTGTCGCTCACTCAAGACAGGCAGTGTATGGGGTTGGAGGCAGTTTGGGATGTGGGAGGGCAGACTGTGGAGAGTGAAGGAAAAGCAGGCTGGGCTGAAGTCATTAGGCCTGTATTTTATGTGGTTTATACTCTCCTGAAAGTGGTAATGTTGTTTATTCAAGCACCTGTAACGTGCAGCTAGCCTGCACCCCATAGCTCTCAAAATGAGTAGCAGCACTGGTCTTTTTGAGCACGTTACAGTGACTTTATTCAATAAAATGGGAGCTCTTCAGTTATTTTTTCACTCCTTGTGAGGAAGAACAAGACCTTACAAAGCAGAGCGGCTGGTTGCCTGCCAAGGGATCCTGAAAAACAGTTCCCTGCCCAGAAGGACCTGTTTGTTTTTCCCAGGCTCCCTGGGATCTTTACTCCCCCAGTGAATTAGCAGCTCCTGTTTCTTGG